CCACTACCTCGCGAGGAGCTCCGCTACTTAGCATACATAAAAATTATATATGAAATAGGTGTAGAAAAGACTGAAAAATATAATTCACATATAATTCTTTTAAATTCGGTTGATTAGACTTAGCTTTATATGCGATCAAAATTATGGATCTTTGGCGCTCCTCTACCTCGCGAGGTGCTCCTCTACCTCGCGAGGCGCTCCTTTGTTTCGCGAGGTGCTTCCCTTGCCGCGCGAAACACTCCACTACCTCGCGAGGAGCTCCGCTACTTAGCATACATAAAAATTATATATGAAATAGGGGTAGAAAAGACTGAAAAATATAATTCACATATAATTCTTTTAAATTCGGTTGATTAGACTTAGCTTTATATGCGATCAAAATTATGGATCTTTGATCGCGTATAAAGCTGGGTCTAATCAACCAAATCTTAAAAAATTATATATGAAATAGGGGTAGAAAAGACTGAGAAATATAATAAAATATAGAAATATGGATAGGCGGGGAATATATACATATTATACATAGAGATATTATACTTTGGGTAGGTAGGAACACGAAGGGATTATAACTCGTACTGTTAATTATATGGAGGGGTAAAAGCCATAGTGGTATAAGTCAAATTTTTTAAAATATTGACTCGTGTGCATAGATGCAATCTATACAATATATAAATTGCATATGCATACAAGACAATATTTTAAAAAATTTGACTTACACCACTATGGCTTTTACCCCTCTATATGTAACATTATTTATAAGAAAATTATTGTAATAAGGAATTATAAGGAAACGTGTAAGAAATTTGAAATTGTATGATACTAATGCCGGATATATTATACGAAATCAATAGAAGACGATTAAGATAATAACGGTGTTTATTCTTTATCTATAGAATTTCACATTTTAAAAATTATCGTTAATTATTATAAATTTCACATAAATGTGAAGGTTTGAATCAACGCTCAAATAATAGCTTCTTGTTTGCAAAGTTTGACATTTATCTGAAAATTAAAATTATATAATTACGATTATATTTTTCAAAATTATGAGATACAAAATTCGTAATAATTTTGAAGAATGTAATTTTAATTTTGTAATTTTAATTATCGTAATTCGTTATTAATTGGAATACGCAAGATGGAAGCGCGGCCGCCGCGGCCAGAATATTCCCTCCAGCTGGCTAGTTCGGACACGAACCATTAGCACGGACGCAAACCATGTGCGGTTACCGAGCGATACGACGTAGTTGAGTTGCACTTTCTCAGGCGGCGCGTCGGAAAATGCAACACAGCAACACACGAAAAAGGCCGGGATCACCGGGATGGCCTCTCTCAGGTTTCTCTCTGCTATCGCTATCGCCTATTGTGCAAGGGGTTTAACGGCTGTTCCACGGGTTCTCTATCGATTCGTCGTTCCCTGAGTGCAACACGAGTGATGAAAATCTATAGCATGTGTCACGTGCACTATAGGATTTTCTAAAGGTTTTTATCCATTGGGTGACGTTTTTGAACGCAGCCCTGACGTGTGACGTGGTGGTCGCGCTATGGTCGCGCTGGTCGCGCACGATACTGTGGCCGTGTAGCGTGTAACGTGGTATAGCATAGCGGTGGACGGTGGACAGGACGCACTGGTGACTGGACGCACGGCATAGGTAGCCGGACTAGCCGGGTCGCGCTCGAAGCAACGAAGCAACTGGAAAAATCATTCTCGATCACCGTTGACCCGCGCGCGTCCAGCTTTCCATCATGCTGCAGTCGATATTCGACGATGTGCGGCGTATGAACAAGCGCCAGGCAAGTCACCCCCTCGCGACGACGACGACGACGATCGTCGTGGCTCGATGACGGTCACATATGGATGGGTATTGACGTTGTACCCTCTGATTTTCAGTTCCTGTATCAAGTGCTGAGCTTTGGCATGATAGTGTCCTCGGCACTGATGATATGGAAAGGCCTGATGGTAGTCACCGGCAGCGAGAGCCCCATCGTCGTCGTATTGAGGTACGGAGCGCACCTAACCTTAAATTCCGTCTGCATATAGCGCGTTCTGAATTAATTTTTAATTCGGCCGTCATCGCCGAATTCGCCGAAGCTGAAATCGATACTGCTTACTTTCGTGAATGGCGTAACATGTGGCTAAACGTATTTTGTTGTGAAATAGAAACATTCCTTGTTGATGCATATGGTGTATTTACAAAATATGGAGTTAGCAATATATGTATTAAACAAGAGAGTTGATAATGCTTGTATAACTCTTCAAATATTATAAATCACAGAGTGATTTAGAAATACATGTAAATACTTTGTGGGTGTAATGTAGAGGTAAAAATAACACTAAAATGTTCTATACAACTTTTTCTGAAATACATAAGGCCTAGGAGCTCGATTCTTGAATTTATTTGCAAGAGAAACGAAAATGCGAAAATTCTGCTCTTACCGAAACGTTGCAAATTGATTGGTCAA